AGTGCGAACCTCTACCACCGTTTATGTTAAATGCACAATTTTTTTCTTTTTTTAATATCACATATTTACATATTTAAAAAAGTTCTTCTTTAACAAAAAACAAAAAAAATGGCCCAATATCTCAAAATTTGCGGAAATTAGAAAACCCCCAGGCATTTATACTGTGGAAAAATTAAAATTATCTTAAAATAAAAAACAATGTATAAATTTTTATCAAAATGAGAGTAAATAAAAGGATTGTACTACCTTACTACTTTTAAATTTTTTGAGAAATTGAATATAGAAAAACATTCTATTAAACAATATTCTTTTGCGTTTAATTGATACATGTATGTACTTTGTCTTTTTAAATTTTTTAAAAAGATAATATTTTAACATATCACACTTTTTTTAACTTTTGACGTTTTAACGTAAACATCACGTACACTTAGCGCGAGATATCAATAGTAACGTGACTTTTGATTATTAACTTCGTCATTTCTGTGAATTTTTAAGTTTACACACACATATATATATATATATAATGATGTTTGACGTGTGGATGGATGTGTGTGTTAAGTAGAATTGTAAACCAAGTCCTTTCTTGGCGTGTAGCTGAAAAATAAAGACATATATATATATATATATATGTCTTTATTTTTCAGCTACACGCCAAGAAAGGACTTGGTTTACAATTCTACTTAACACACACATCCATCCACACGTCAAACATCATTCTTCTTTACAAACAAGCCACAGTACATTATTGTTTACAGCCATTATCTTTTTTATAGCTTTTCTCTCTCCTTTTCCATAATCTATTTAGCACCTTTCCTTTTTCCATTCTAAATTTGTCATTGCATATATTCTCTAATCGTTCTCCGTTATTCCTACCTAAGTTCTCAAACCACATACTTGTGATGTTGCACTCGCTTATATAATGCTCTAAGTTGTCCCTACCTGACTTGCAGAATCTACACTTCGTATCTTCCTCGTCAAGCCAATATTTATTTGTATCCTCTAAATTGCCGCACCTTAATTTTACCATCGCTCTAATCTCATCTCCTGTTTTTACTTTATCCAAGTTCGCTTTTAATAAGTAATGGTGTTTTGTTGCTCGCTTCTATCTCTTTGTACCTTGAATTATACCTTGCTTCTACTATTTTACTGTTTATTATTTGCCCTTGTATGTCCTGTTCCCTTATTCTTACTAAGCCTTTAGTATTTTTACCTTCATTATTTAATTCTTTTATTACTTCAGAGCTCCAACCATTGTTATTATATAACCTTTCTCGTTCCAAACTATATAAATCCTTTTTCTTTTTATCCATTGTGTCCTTTTCAACCCAACATGCCTTTACTAAACTTCCGTCTTTTTTCTCTCTGCTTCTTTTCTCGAATCTTATGGCTCTTATGCCCCAACAGATTTTAAGTTTCTCTAATCCTAGTTCCCTTAGTATTACATACCTCGGAGTGCAAAAATCTAGTCTAAATACCCATCTTACATAATCTAACATGACTTTTTCCAACTCCTTTTTTTCACACTACCCCCATATTTCTGCTCCGTATTCCATCACACTTTTCACTAGGTACTTAAAAAGCGTCCATCTCCTACTAAAATCATCTTTACATAATCTTTCTCCTAAGCCCCAGACCCTGTTTGCCGCGATCTTTCCTTTCCTTTTCAGTTCTTTTATATGATCGACATAATTACCTTTCCTATTAAACGTGAAACCCAGGTATTTAAACATATCTACTTCCTCTATTATTTTTTCGCCCCATTTCCATGTCATCCTGCCTTTTTTACCTTTACTATTAAATAATATCTATACTATCACTTTAGTTTTTTCTGTATTTAATTCTAGTTTCCTTTCTTTAAAAATTTTTTTTAACATGCTCATCACATCTAGTAAAGCCTCTCTATTTTTTGCTACCAAAACCATATCATCCGCGTATGCTAATGACCATACTCTCACTCCTCCAAGCTCCACTCCTCCTATACCACGCTTTTTTAAAACTTTATCAATGTCCGCATTGTATAAATTGAACAGGGCGGGACTCATCACACAGCCTTGCCTTACACCTTTCTTCATCTTGAAGCATCTTGTGAACCCATCCATCTTCCTTATTGTCATCTCCGTCTCTTTGTAGATTTCTTTTATCCTGTTTATTAAACTGCTCCACTCCTTTCTCTTCCATCATCTTCCATAAAATTCCTCTGTCAATGTTGTCGAATGCTGCCCTTAGATCCACAAACATTGCGAAAATCTTGTCTTTCCCAGTTGCCGAATCTTTCTCCTTCTTTCTTTGCACTATATGGTTTAAGATAAATATATTATCCATCGTGGACTTCCCTTTCCTAAAGCCGGCTTGGCTGTCAGGTATCATCCCTTTCCTCTCCATTATTTCCTCCAATCTGTTCCTTAGAATTTCCGCATATACCTTGTATGCAGTGCACAGCAGAGAGATCCCTCTATAGTTGTCTGTTCTCTCTTTATCCCTCCTTTTATATAGGGGGACAACTATACTTGTTCGCCATTCGGTCGGAATTTTACTTTCCTTCCAAATGAGCTTCAACAGATCAGTTAGACCTCTTCTTACTGCTGCGCCACCATACAGCCATGCTTCCATTGGGATTCCATCGACACCTGCAGCTTTGCCTAGCTTCATGTTCCTGACTGCCCTCACTATCTCCTTTTCTTGCAGCTCCCTTTCTTTATCTTGAACCTGCTCTTCATTTCTTTCTTCTGTTCCCATGTCACGCATCTCCAACGCCTCATCCCTTCCTTCCATCTTGGTCCCACCTAACAGCTCCATGAAGTAACTTCTCCAGTTCTCTTTCGAGATATTATTCTTTTTTCATTCTTTCTTTTTTCTTCGACTGTTTATGTAGTTCTAAATTTTCTTTTCGTCCTTCAGTTTTCTTAATTCCTCTTCTTCCCTCACTCTCTTCTCCATCCTTTTACTCTCTAACCACCCCTTCAGACATTTCTTTTCTTCCAAATAGTCTTTCTTACTTCCCTTTTCACATCTCTACCTTCTGTACTTTTTTTTCACCACCCTCTTCTTTCTGGTACAACTCCTATCCCACCAATCTTTGTGCCCTATTTTCCTTCTCTTCTTTAACTTAATTTCCTTATACACTAAGGCTCCAAGGATCTAGTTTTTTATTTTTTCCCATTTCCTATCCACCGACTCCATTTTCTGGTCCTCGGTTTCATTCCATACCTCCGTCCTCTCCCTGTATAATTTCCTTGCCTCTTCGTTCCACACTATGATCTTCTTTGACATATTCCGTTCTTCTTTTTCCTCTTCTGTACACCCCTCCATTTGTCTCGTATTTTCCTCTTCCTCCAGTAACAAGTTCAGAGGCAAATGATCCGAGTCCACCCTGTCCCCTATTCTAAATTCCAACACTCGCTCTTGCGCACTATCGTTTACAATTGCATAATCAATTACCGAGCACCCTCTCGCACCCACATACGTATATTCCCCCTCCCAATCCCAATCTGTACATCCATTCAAAAAATACTATCTTTTTTCATTTATCATATCCACAAAACTTCTGCCGCCATCTCCTATGACTTTATCTTTACTCTCCTTTTCAAAGTCATACTCCTCCTCCCTACAACCTCCTAAGTTTCCTATTCTAATATTAAAATCACCTCCTATAATAATATCTTCTCCTTCGCATCCTTCGCATTGCTCTGTTATTTTTGCCATTATCTCTTCAACATCTTTCTTTGCTCCTACATTATATACTGTAAAAATATTTAGCCTTTTTTCCTCTTTTACTATTCTCGTTCGCGCAATTTTTTCTGTAATCATTATACTTTCATAATTCTCCACTTCCGCCATCCAGCCTTTTCTAATACCTATTAGTAAACCTCCCTTCGCCCTACCCTTCCTTTTTTTCCTTACAGCGTTAATGTTTTTCCAGATATGCGTTTCTGGCAATCTACCCTTAATTCTATCCCATCCCTTTTCCTCTAACCATATTTCACATAACCTTATAAAATCGAAACCTACTATGTAATTCCAATAATCTTTGCCCTGCCTCTCTATACCTGCTACATTCCAGAAAATTATCTTTCGCCCATTTTCTTTCTTCAACTGTTTCACTTTTTCGTCCTCCATTCGTGTTGTTTGTCTATTTTCCTCTTGAATGCCACGACTTGCTGATACTCTTCTCCTAACTTAGCAGTCCTCTAGAAATTTTCCATTTCTATTAGCTTATTTTCTTCCTCGCTCCATACATACTTTCTACCTTGTATCTCTAGCTTTCTAAAACCTATTTTCACCCATTTTTCTTCTGTTTTCTCTTTCCATGCCCTTTCTTTTATCCGTCTTTGCCCTTCTCTATCCTCAAAAGTCAAGTCGTGATCAATGTAAATTTTCTTACTTCCCAGCTTCTTCTTCTCCTTCATGTTGTTATCCTTCGCTTCCCAGCAGTCCATTTCGACTATTATTATCTCTCTTCCTACTCTGCGTGTTGACCGCATCTTCTTCACTCCCGCTTTTGCACCAAACTCCCTCTCAAGAAACGTCTCCGCTGTGTCTATTAAGCTCTTGTTTTCCTCTTTATGTAGTCCTCTGATCACTAAATTATTTTTTTTTCCTTCCTTTTCTTCATATTTCTTTCTCTCTTCCTAACCATCTCCGCCACCTTTCCCACAATCTCCTCCATTTTGCCGCCGGTCGACTTATCCGTTGCGTTTTCACTCCTTCGTTCGATCTTCGATAGACCCTCTTCTATCTTATCCATCCTTTCCTCTACCTTTTCTTCTTTTTTTCTCCGACCCTCTTCTAAGACGTTCATCCTCTCTCTCATCTCTCTCATCTCGTCTCTCAGGTCCCTCATTTCGTTTCTAATCTCTCTCAATACTGCTAATAGCGAACCGTCCTCTTCATCTTTCTTTGTTGCTGACAGAACTCCTTCCTCTTTTCTCTTCTTACCTACAGCATCGACTCCATCCTTCGCTTTGTCCATACCTGATGGCGTTCTCACTGTCTTGTTATCTCTCTTGGAAATTTCCATCGTACGTTGTTCGTTTTTCTCTCTTTTCCTCTTGGCTTTCGCTAACTCGCATGCCGTACTGTTATCACTTGTCATAAACTCCAGTATGCTGAACGAGCTCGATCTTTCTCTCATTCTTAACTCCTCCTTTGTAAGTCTTTCCTTTCCTCTTTTTTCTTCTTTTGGTGTGGCAAAAATTTTTTTACCCGTTTTCTCACTGCTTGAACTATCCGACACTGTAGCCGGATTCTTATTTTTATTCTTTATTGCTGCCTTCTCACTCTCGCCTGTCTCCCCCTCCATCCTGTACGTCCCTCGTGCACGCTCTCCTTCCAGCCAATCTCCTTAACCGCTATCTCTATGCTTAGACTGTTCCGTCTAGTATCTAGTGTCGCTACCTGCTCTATGCGCGACGCAAATCTCGCTCCCTTTTGGAACACACAGCGATTTTCTTCCGCCTTCTTTCACCTAACCTCTCCCTCTCTCTCTCTAAAATATTTAGCGCTCTTTTCCTTCACTAATTAATATTTCCCTGCTGCATCTATTATCTTATCCTAAATTTAAGTTTTTCTTCCTACCTTTCTATCGGTTTGACGCCTACCTCGACTCCTATTTCCCTCTAAACTCTCGCCTAATTTATCCGCAACTCTCACACGCATGCACAACACACTCGCTCCACTAACCAAGTCCTTTTTAAGTTTACATTTTCTCTTACTCCATTTTATTTTACCTTGACCTTCTTCTTTCTCTTTCTCTCAAACACTTTTTTAAAGTAATATAAATTTTTTAGCTGGTGACCTTCGTGATCAAGGGCAACTAGTTACGTACATTCGACAAGACATTGGAAATGTTCGAATGTTTCGAAAATCGAAGATCATGGATTTTTCTATCACAAATGGTACGACTCCATAATATATGTTTAAAAATATTTTCGTATTTTTTTTATTTTTTCGGCTTGTTACCACGTTATAAACAATAAAAATAAAATAAAAACGCACGTGTATATGAAATTATTTTAAATAAATAACGGTAATTATGCATTAAACACTTAAATACTTTTAAAGCGCGTCACTAACCTACATAGGTTAGTTGACGCGCTTTAAACACTTAAATACTTTTAAAGCGCGTCACTAACCTACATAGGTTAGTTGACGCGCTTTAAACATTTAAACTTCTGAAGGTCACTCGGGGTCATGACCTTGACAACATATGTCAAGGTCAAGGCCATCGGAGGGTGGTCCTTATTACTGCATAATTACCGTTATTTATGCCTTCCTATACTCAAAATAGCTGCTATATTTTCCAAACTTTTTGTTAATAATTTTTTAACGAATAACGAGCGCGAGCTGAAACCTTTTAAAGGTCACTCAGGAGGGTGACCTTGACAACATACTAAAATATCAAGGTCATCCAAGGTGATCCCCCCCATTTATACAATTACCTTAAGAAATTTTAAATATTTCAAAAATTAAAAAATTTTGAATAATTATTAAATATAATAATTTCGCAATATTATTTAGTTTAATACAATAGTTTAATAACCCAGATAGCACAGAGAATTCAAAAAAAATTCTTTTTAAATTCCTAAATTATGAAATAAATTCTTCCAACTCATTTTTGTTCTTAAACATTCTTAAGTGTTTAAAAGAATTTACTTTTAAGTCACCAATTCTGAGCTCTTTTTCAGATACAAAAGTAATTCTGGTAATTATACAGAAAGAGGGCAATCTCACCGATTTCAATGACATATGTTGTCAAGGACGTGATTCTGAGTAACTTCTTCTTATAATTTAATCGGCGGTCATTGTTATTTAAAAGTTATAAACAAATGTTACTAAAAAATATAACAGTTTATGTCAGTGCTAAGGGAAGTAATTAACTGATATGTGTGTATAGACAGAACCTACACATGTAGGCGGAGGAGGTGCTACCGCCTCTCCCACGCAGGCAGTGGTGGGTGGGGTTAGATCTCGGTTCGCGTGAAAAATTGAAAACTTGAATTGTACAATGATAGACCTTGTTTTGTCCTATAAGCAGGTCGGGGTGGGGTGGGGTAAACTTCGCTTCAATGTAATCAAAGGTCTAACCCAATCCAATTGTTGTACGGATGAAAAACTTCCACGCGAATTGAGGTCTAACTCCGCCTACATGTGTACTGTCTATACACACATATCAATAAATTACTTCCCTTAGCACTGACATAAACTTTGCGACGCATTTTCCTCCGGTCTCGCAATCCGGGGGAGGGCAATCGTGGATTGACAGGACGCGAAGTTACTCAGACACAAAATAATTGGGCGCCAGGTGCAATTAATCGCACCACCGTATACAATATTCTAGATAACGCGATATCCCCGACGCGACGATACCTCAGGGCGTAGTTTCCTTTCGGGAAATTCGGAGAAGAGGCGTGACAAAATTAACCACACAAAAACATAAGGAAATAATCATATGTAATATATTTGAAATCAGTCAGCGTAAAAGTAATAGATATAATGTATTTGAAATAGTTGAAATTAGATCATACGGAAGGGTAAATATAGAGATATTATCGCCAGGATCTCGGATAGAGTCAACGCAGGTGAAACAAATTAACACGAGAATGTTGGACAAATTAACACCAGAATGTTAGAATAGATAAACGCGATAATGTCGAATGTTTAACGCGATAGATGAACGCACGAAAGGTTAACGCAAGAGATGAACGCGAAAATAGTTAACGCAATAAATGAACGCAAGAAAGGTTAACGCAATGGTCGGATAGAAACAATACTCACAATAAAAGGTAACTACAAAGCGGTAACTCACTACGAACGCACAACAAATACTTACGCCGCGATCCCGACCAATCAAATCGCAACGCCTCTACCTACGCCTTCGCCGAGTATCCGGGCCACCTCGATTCCGCACGACGCAAAAATTATGGGCGATCTTGCCGTGTTGGCTCCGCCGGCCGGCGATCGCCTCCGAACACAAAATAAGGTCTCGTATCGCGGACGATCCCGCGGCTTGCCACGCGAATCCCGAATTCTCTCGCAAGTCCGGAGATTCCGCGGCCCCGCACCAATCCCGACGATTTTCCTGTCCCGCCAAACGCAATAAGGTAAATGTCTCTATGCCCGACACCTATAAGGCCGACCAAACAAAAGAATAGCGTTGTCAAGCGTGACGAAAATAAATTCGATAAAGAGTTTTATACTGGTGGATAGCTTCATCCATGCACTTTCCAAAAATCGTAGACTCAATCCATTCCGTCAAGTATTTTTTTAGATAAAAAAAAATAAAGGCGCACTAGTACGTGCCCCCTCTACCGACCAGCTGTGCCCAATTCCGACCGCGCATGCCTCCATTGCCGACCACCTTTTATCAGAGCATGCAGAGCATGCAGAGCGAAGGTTTCAAACGAAAAATAAACATAAAAGATTATAATTTTTTCTTATTTCTTTACCACCAGTCACAAAAATCTATAGATATCTCTGCGTAATGTAATCTGCGTAGCAGGAAATAAATTATTGTCATGTACGCAGACTTCGATTATAAACTCTACAGCATTTATGATCGAACAACAAAAGTTATAATATTTTAAAAAATATTATTTTAAAATTTACAAAATTTATAATATTTTTTATAGATATTTTAGTGTTCGACAATACACTGACGTTTACGTGTACGGTACTGGGGACATGCAGGCGTTTTGCTGTGTCTAACCTCGACCATCGAATAAATAAAGAAACTGACAGTTTTTGACTGATTTTTTTTTAATATGGCAATCAAACTGTAACGAACCATTTAGCGCTCAAATTATTCCTTACAAAAGAATTTTGAACGAAATACGGACTATTTAGGCGACCGACAATTCTTAACTTCATTCTTAAGAATACGCGTGGATAGTGACGTGCGACAAAAAATGCGAAAAAAAATATATCTCATTATTGTACTTACTCTGCACGTTACAATCCTTTTGTACTGCACGAATTCCGGAATTTTTCCACTCCACTAATCAACGTGTTGATGAATCGGCAGCGTCGTAAATAACGTTTCACGTCAAAGTGGTCGGTAGAGGGAGCATGGTCGGGCATAGGGACATTTACCTTATTCGCCTTCCTCGAGGGCCCGGATACGCTATTCGACCACAAAGCCGAGTGCCCTTCAAAATACTTGACCACTCGCGGCTCGCAGCTTCCCCTCGCAACTCGCGCCAAGGTAACTGATACGCGTCCGGGGCCAGTGCTTCGAGTGAACCCTCTTTTCTATCGCGGGGACGCCAGGGTGGTGACCTTACAATTCGTCGATGCCTTTGCTGCAGTCCGGACGGCTCAGGGCTTGGGCGGTGCTCCCTCGTCAATAGCCGGCACGACAGTGATGGGACTATGGCCCGCCGGGATCGCGCCGGTTCCCCGCGCCTGCCCTGTAACGTGTCGACCGGATCGCCGATCCTAGCGCTCTCACTGGCGCCTATGCTTCTCGTGCGCCGCTCCTTCCGCCGGCGCCACTCTAACTATTTCTGCCTCGGCGCGGGTTTTTTAATTCATCTGGCTGTCCGGGCCGCGATGATTGAGTCGGCGTTTCGCGGGTCAGGCTGGCGGGCCATGGCCTCGTCCGCCGATAGCCCCTCGGGGTGGTGGCCACAGGGCTACGCATTTCCCTGGGCCGCTCTTCGGCACCCTGGCCTTTGTGGCATTTCGTTCGAGTGTGTCCCGGGGTCCCCTGATTTTTTCCTGCCGCTGTTGCGACCAAGTTCGGAGTGGATTCCGGCCAGCGGCACTCGACGATGCTCTTGCGGGGAGGTCCGGACAACCCGACTACCAACCATGTCCCACGGCCGCCTCCTTGGTCCTGCCAGCTCTCCCTCGTGGCGGCTCACGGCCGTTACATGCGGGCTCCAGTCACCAACGGCAATCCCTTAAAAACTTAAATACTAAGTACGCGACTATCCTCCCTTTCTCCGACGAGGAGGCATCCCCGAATTCCCCTCGGCTGAGCCCGTCCGGGAAGTAGACGCGACTTGTCAAGTCACAACTTGTAAAACTCAAACTTTTTTTGTTCATATGTTTTTTAATAAGCAATGACCGCCTATTAAGTTATAAAGAAAAGTTATTCAGGATTACGTTCTTGACAACATATGTCAAGGTCATTGAAATCGGTGAGGTTGCTTTCTTTCTGTATAATTACCGTAATTTGTTGATATATGTACTGTCTATATACACACATATCGGCAAATTAGTTTTCTTAGCCACAGTATAAATAAGGACAGTAGGTACACTTTGTGTTGGTGCTTTTGATCTTTGCGGCAACCATCCGAT